CACTGGCTGCCAGTTACATTCAGAATAGATTTTAAAGTATTATTACTGGTCTATAAATCACTAAATGGCCAAGGACCTCAATACATTACAGATATGCTCACTGAATACAACCCTAACAGATCACTCAGATCTTTAGGATCATATAAACTAGAAGTTCCAAGAGTTCAGTCTAAGCAGGGTGAATCTGCCTTCAGCCACTATGCCCCTCGCTGCTGGAATCAGCTTCCAGAAATGATCCGATGTGCTCTAACATTAGGCACATTCAAATCAAGACTGAAAACACATCTGTTTAGCTGTGCCTTTACTGAATGAGCACTGTGCTGTGTCCGACAGATCGCACTATTATGTTTTTCGTTTTCTTTTTCATTCTTTTATAACCTACTTTAACTCATTTTAATTTGTTTTTATCTGTTTTTAATAATTTTTATTGTCTGCATTTTATTTTCCTAAACTTGTCTTTTTTATTCCTGTTTATGTAAAGCACTTTGAATTGCCACTGTGTATGAAATGTGCTGTATAAATAAACTTGCCTTGCCTTGCCTTACACACAATACCCCATAATGACAATGTAAAAAAAATATAAATTTATTAAAAATAAAGAACCTGAAAAATCACATGTGCATCAGTATTCACAGCCTTTGCACAATACTTTGTTGATGCACCTTTGGCAGCGATTACAGCCTCAAGTCTATTTAAATATGATGCCACAAGCTTGGCACACGTGTCCTTGGGAATTTTTGCCCATTCCTCTTTGCAGTACCTCTCAAGCTCTATCAGGTTGGATGGGAAGTGACGGTGTACAGCCATTTTCAGATCTCTCCAGAGATGTTCAATAGGATTTAAATCTGGGTTCTGGCTGGGCCACTCAAAGACATTCACAGAGTTGTTGTGAAGCCACTCCATTGATATTTTGGCGGTGTGCTTTGGGCTACTGTCCTGCTGGAAGATGAACCGTTGCCCCAGTCTGAGGTCAAGAGCAGGTTCTCTGAAGCAGGTTTTCATTCAGGATGTCTCTGTACATTGCTGCATTCATCTTTCCCTCTATCCTGACTAGTCTTCCAGTTCCCGCTGCTGAAAAACATCCCCACAGCATGATGCTTCCACCATCATGCTTCACTGTAGGGATGGTATTAGCCTGGTGATGAGCGCTGCCTGGTTTACTCCAAATGTAACGCCTGGCATTCACTCCAAAGAGTTCAATTTTAGTCTCATCAGACCAGAGAATGTAGTTTCTTATGGTCTGAAGCCTGGTTTATACTTCTGATTTGAGTGATCGGGGTGACCCACGGCGCATGCAACGGGCGTAGCCATGCATTTATACATCTGCGCGCTGTCTGTGTTCCTCTGCAATAACACTTACGAAACGCTAGCTGGCAGTGAGGTGTTTATGTTGCTCTGTGTCGGGTTTCTTCGCTGGTGTTTTGTTTTTTCTGAACGCTTCCTTAATGTACAAGTGGCTCAAACTCGCTCATTTTGAGGCAGGAACCGGCGAAAGTGCAACAACTTTAATCATGAGGTAAACACAAAACAAAACTTTTCATCTGATGCTCCTTCATGGGACTCCACACGTGTAAACAATCCCTCCATCGGGGTTGCGCGGCTCTCGGATCCGCCCACACTTGTCAGCGCTACCAAGCCGACCAATCAAAGAGCTTGCGTTACGCATTGTTGCGACGTGTAGTTAAATTTTTTGAGAGGTGCGTGTCAGTAGCATAAGCGTAACATAAACACAACAGGGATCACAATCCAAAGGAAATGGGTTTTTATTTGCATGTTGCTGTTGTTTTTATGTAACTATTAAACACTACTTCCTGTACGTTATAGATAAAAAAGTAATTCTAATAGTTTTAAATTAAATAATCAAAAAAAAATCTAATTGATTTGATTTATTATTATTTTTTTAAATCACCAAGCAACCCCCTCACATTGTCCCCCGACCTCCACTTTGGAAACCACTGATCTAAAGAAGATTTTGTTCTAAAATCATCAAATAATCACACTGTTTTTTTAATCTAAACCTTAATTATTTAGCAGTACCTGCTCATCTCAAACAGAAAGCGGTCAGCCCGGGCCATACGCTCAAGCTCATGCTTGTGTTCCTCCAGAAGGTCCATATCACTTTTTTCAGGAACAAACTTAAGCAGCTGTAAAATAAAACCAACAAACATTTACACGTGCAGAGCATTTGCTTATAAGTATTAGTTGTACTAATCAAAAACTTAGTAGTTCTATTGTTCATGACCAACGACTGACATTATTATATAGCACTCACCTGTTCTAACATGTCTTTAGCCAGTTCTTCCCTCTCGTCCATCTCTAGAACAGCTCTTTTTAGTTCTTCATTGCTCATTTTTAGCCTGTATTAAAAGAAAGTGCTGTCTTTATTACTATATATATATATATATATATATATATATATATATATATATATATATATATATATATATATATATATATATATATATAGAGAGAGAGAGAGAGAGAGATATATAGAGATATA